TGTTCCTTGTTTGGTTGTGGGCTTAGGGCAGATTCACCCAATTAACTCTCTATCCGATATTAGATCATATATAGTCAGTATAAACTAAGTGATTATAAAAGTAATCACTGTGGTCACCATTTTATTATAAGAAATAAAGGGTTTTCTTAAGGAATATTTTCATTAAATATAAAGGAACCATTACAATTAACTCCATGAGTAACAAGTGAACACGCCAGAGTTATATACAACAATGATCTAACAAACAATGGGATGTGTGCTATCGGCCTTACTTATTGTTCCTTGTTTGGTTGTGACCTTAGGGCAGATGCGCACAGTCGATTGTTTGTTTACTCTGAGTTTTATATCACTTGTATCCATTTAGTACTCATAGAAAGGATTGTAGAATCATTTTTACGTATCTTTCATCAAAGTAGGGAATATAGGATTTTCTAAGAGGAACAGGCGAACTTTTCTAAACAGAACTTACAACTTACTACATTTTTCAACTACATTTTCAACAGTAGTTTACTACAACATTTTGCAACTTACTTACATCACTAAAATCTTATGAACTCACCAGCTTAATTGCTAATCAACTCTTTCAAAATAACTTGTATTCTTAGGAGCCTATTAGACAGGTACTCGCATTAGGATTCAGAAGATGGAGCAGTATGGCTTCAAGTCTTATTTGTTATTTGCTTATGTATTCTATGTTTTGTGAACACACACCTTGTAAACACTTTCTTTCTAATGAAAATGGTTGTTCATTACTTTGCTTACTATGATGCATGTCTTGTGATACTAAACATGACGTTCTCCACCCCAGAACGTTTCCTCCGTTCCGGTTTTGGGGTGTGACAATCTGCCCTCTGGAACACCAACTCGTCGAGTGCAAGAACCAACTCGGCGAGTTGGATGAGTTTACTCTTGGACTAGGTGAGTCCCCCAGTGGACTCGGCGAGTCCATAGTCCAGAAAGCCTGAATTTTTATTTTCAAGCTATTGCATCAAGTATAATTGAAAACCAAGCCTAGGCTCTGATACCACTGATGGGTTTTGTATACTACAACATCCTATGGTGCACGTACAACCCTAAATACCTTGGATCTATGTTTTCACTAATTATACATGCAAATGGATTCCAAGGCATTAAACCTATAACTAGCATGCATTTGAAATAAACCATATAAGATACTAGTTAGGGTAACATACCTTTTATGTAGCTTGAAGTCTTGATGTATTTGGCCTTAAGAGCTTAGCCCCAATAGAGTGGAAGCCTCAAATGAAGTCACAACACATCATGGACAAAGGTAGAACTTGAGAGAGAATTCCTTCCACACCAAAATCAACTCCATGAGCTCCAAGAACTAGAAGTCGTGATTTTGGCTATGGAGTGACCTATTTATATGTAGGATTCCAAGGGTCATGGGTATAACCCAAATCCATACCCATGGGTATTATGATCATGTGGCCCAACTCTTTATGTGTCCATACATAAACTTGGTCCAACATGGATCATAAGCCCAATAAATATAAATATAACTAATTACCAAAATTAGTCCCCATAGATTTAATTAGTCTTTTTTGATCACTAAATTAATTCCAAATTAATTCTTGATCAATACTAATTAAAACATATGATTTCATATTAATATATTAGAACTTATAATATATTAATAAATCATACATAACCTTCTCTCAAGAGTCTATCCTAACAAATTGTCCTGATGATATGCGACCCAAATGAACCATGCTCCTCTCGGGTAGTGGAGTTTGGAGGGAATATGGAGAACACGAACAGAACCAGTTGCAATCTTGTCTCACACAAAATGAAGATCAATCTCAATATGCTTTGTACGTTGGTGCTGAATAGGATTAGATGAAATGTAAACCACGCTTATGTTATCACAGTAGATAATAGTTGCCTTGGTGACTTGGAAGTGTAGCTCGCGAAGAAGGTTACGTAGCCAACATGTTTCTACTACGGCGGTCGCAACTCTTTGGTATTCGGTTTCTACACTGGAGCGGGAGACAACTGTTGTCGTTTGGATGACCAAGACAGAAGGTTGTTACTCAAGAAAACACAATAACCACTAGTGGATCGACTTGTGGTTGGACACCCTCCACAATCCGCATCGGAGTAGGAAATAAGGCTCGTATTTAAGGAGGGATGGATCTGTAATCCATAATCAAGAGTGACATTGACATATCAGAGCACACGCTTCAAGGCGTTTAAATGTGGTTCCCTTGGATCATGCATGTAGAGACATATATGTTGTACTGCGAAGGATAAATCTGAGAGAGTGAAGGTAAGGTACTGTAGGCCACCATCTAAACTGCGGTATAAGGTAGGGTCGAAGACACGGGTGCCATCACAGTCAAGTTTAGACTGGGTATCAGTTGGTGTTCTATAGGGGTTACAATGTGACATGTTTGCCCGGTCGAGAAGTTCCAGCACGTATTTGCGTTGGGATAAAAGCATTCCTTTGTCGTCTTGTGTCATTGAAATGCCTAAAAAATAAGATAAGTCACCTAAGTCCTTCATGACAAACTCAGTGGCCAGAAGGGAAATGGTGCATTAAAGAAGCTCTGTAGAGGAAGCAGTTAGTATGATGTCTTCAACATAAAGAAGTAAATAAGCTGCCTCTGTACCCCTGCGAAAAATAAATAAATATGAGTGTCATCGACTCTGAGTAAAGCCGATCTAAGTGACATATGTGGCAAAGCGCAGAAACCAAGCCCGAGGAGCTTGTTTCAGCCTATAAAGTGACTTCTGCAAGTGTCAAGCATAATCTGGGTGAACCGAATCTCTAAATCATGGAGGTTGATGCATGTAGACTTTCGCATTAAGTTGTCCATGCAAGAAGGCATTCTTGACGTCTAACTGATGAATGGGCCACTTACGAGAAACTGCAAGGCTAAGGACATTCCAAATAGTAGATAATTTGACTACTGGGCTAAAGGTCTCATCATAATCAATACCAGGTCATTGGCTTTTGCCATTAGCAACCCGTCGAGCCTTATAGCACTCAAGCGAACCATCTGATTTGTATTTCTTATAAAACAACCACATGGAGCGCATATTATTGGCCTTGGGAGGCCTCTGAAGAATGACCCATGTTTTATTGGCAATAAGAGCATTAAACTCATCCTTCATGGAAATGGTCGAGTTTCGATCTTGAAGGGCTTGGATATGGGACCGGGAAACAGGAGACTCAGTAGAGGTGTGAAGATTAAGATGTTGGATGGGTTTCTTAATACCCAAGCAACCCCTGGTGACCATAGGATGGGTGGGGGTGGGTTCGTTGAAGGTTCGGGAGGATGTGTTGGGGATTTTGAGAGGGGAAGGAGGACTATGGGTGGTGTTGGAGGGACCGAGAGGTGAGGGAGGAGGGGTGGTGACATCATGAGTGGTAGGTGTAGATGAAGTAAGAAACTCATGAGATATGGGTGATTAGGTAAGAGAGTTATTAAGGAAAGAGTAGGATGGAGGTTGATTTGGTGTCATTGAGCGAAAGGGGAAGGAGAGCTCATCAAAAATGACATGGCGGGAGAGTGGTAAGATCGAAAAAAATGGTAACCATGATGATTGGTAGGTATCCAATAAACATACAAGGAGTGGATCCGGGGGCTAATTTATGTGGTGTGGGAATGTGAGGATAGCAAAGGCATCCAAAGACTCGAAGATGAGTGTATGATGGTGGTTTTTGAAAGAGCTTAGTGTATGGGATTTCGTGATTAATGGAAATGGAGGGAGTTAGGTTTAATAGGTGAATCGCGATATGAAGTGCTTCAACCCAAAAATATGGTGGGAGGTGAGCATGTAAGAGAGGAGTGCATATGATGTTACTGATTGTACGGATCATACATTCGGATTTTCCGTTTTGTTGGGAAGTGCAAGGGCACGAGAAATAGAAGGTGATTCCGTGGTGGTCAAAAAATTGGTGGAATTGTTTGTTGTCGAATTCACCACCATGGTCACATCGGAAAGATTTAATTTCAGTGTTAAATTGGTTTTTGAAAAAAGCTCTAAAGTGAAGGAACTTGGAGAAGACATTAGATTTATCATGGAGAGAGTAAAACCAAACAAAGTTGGTGAAGTGATCTTGAAAAACAATATAGTATTTTATGCCACTAATGCTCATAACTGGAAATTCCCACAAATCAAAGTGAACTATATCAAATAAACCAGAAACAACAGTGTTTGAACTAGAAAAAGGTTAACAAACATGTTTGCCAAGTTGAAAAGCTTGGCAACTAATAATGTTTGGAGCTTTATTACAATCAATAAGATGACTAGAAATTAAACGATTAAAAACATGGGAGCCAGGGTAACTAAGACGTTGATGCCACAAGGATGTCCTGTCAGATAGGAGAGCAACAAGATTCTGAGGAGGAACTGGGTAGAGGTCACTAAAGTTGTAACACCTAATCAGAAGCTAAAAAGTTTGAAGTCCCTTCATAGAAAAGCCAAAAGGATCAAATTCAATGCAAACTTGGTTATCAATGTAACTAAAACATTTTTAAGATGTAAAGGACGATGGATAGTTGGAAATGTTGTTTGACCGGCGTGTGCAATGGAAATGGGTGAACCATTGCCAACAAAGACATGTGTTATATTACTTTTAGTGCCAAGAGATTGGAGGTTACATGTGTCTGAGGCGAGGTGAGAGGTGGCACATGTATCCATATACCAGTTAGGATCTGAGCCATCATTGAGGTATGTTGCATGAAGAGCCTGTGTAATGTCTGTAGGATGGTATGGGGTCAAAGGTGGGAACCATTATGTTGGAGGAAGAAGTGCAGGCGAAGGCAAGGCAACATAGAAAGATGTTGTCGGTTGCTGTTGTGAAAACGCAGCACCCAAGGGGTAAGCAAGAGCAATGTTGAGGATTCCCTATTGAGGCCGATGTTGTTGATGCTGTGAAATAGGGCCTGGTGATCGATAAGGCTGTTGACATATGGAGTTAGGCCACATAAACGGGTTCTAAGGGACCGAATATGGAGACCTAGGCATGGTCAGTTGTGGTTGAATGGCGACAACATGATGGCAGCGGATGTCTTTGGTTTGTGAGCCACCACGATGAGGTTGAGAGGGCCTACAACCTCCAAGGTTGTTGTTGGTTGGAGCACATGGTTAGGGAGTAGAAGGGCTTCAGAAAGAAGGGCAATGGGTGAAGATGCATGGTCCATATGGAGAGGTTGAGTGGTTCGGTTTCGATTTAAGGTTCGTTCCTCCAGAGATAGTATTGACCTACATTTGAGAAAGTATGGTAGAGGGTCTTGATGGCATAGAACAGTGGTTATGTTGTCATATTTTGGTGATAAGCCATTTATGAGGTATGCGACAAAGGTTGGCTCAAGGACAGGAGATCTAATATTGTTGAGAAAATTTGAGATTGCCTTCATGCGTTCACAATATTGAGAGATTGTGAGATCTCCAAGAGTAAGAGTCTGGAGTTCCTGATCTAATTCATGGCACGAGTTTGTTGATTATCATGAAATAAAGTTTCAAGATTGATCCAAATAGTGTGAGCGGTTGCACCTGATTTGAGGATCATGTTGAGCAAGCTTTGAGTGATTGTGCCATATATCCATATTTTGACTAGGTCATCAAGATTAACCCACGCTTCATCCTTGTTATCTATAGGTTTTGGAGTCTCCTGTGAGATGGCCCTTGACCCCGAAACTGCTGCAGTGAGTTTGAAAAAGTTCTCTCCAGGCATCATAGTTTAGTTGATTGAGATCCAAGATCATAGGAACATAAGATTTGATGTTGGTGACACCAAATGGTTTTTGGTTCTTTCATTATTCACACATGTTAATGGGGAAGGAGAGGCCGACTACAAATTGTTGACAGTGGCGTAGGGTTTTAGCGAGAGAAATGGAAAGATTTTGGCAGAAGTCTCTGATACCATGTAAGTGTATGTAGACCCCAAGATTGTCTCTTCAAAAGAGCCCTTGTGGAGAGAAGGGAACTCCAACATATATAGCCACTTATATTACCTTGTCGTACCGATATGGGAAACACTAATGTAACACCCCGATTTCCTAGATGCGGAACTTGAGAATTTTATTCACATTATAGGACCTACTCGACGAGTTGGTTGGTCCCAATTCGTCGTGTAGGAGTTGAGATGGCCGCGTGATTCTTAGAGTCTACTCGACGAGTTGGAGGACCCCAACTCGACGAGTAGGAGTTGAGTGTGAAAACCCCAATTTTTAGGGTTTGTACCCTATTTAAAGGACCTTAAGCCTTCATTTCCGCCTCCCTTATCACCTTAACACACTGATAGAAACCCTAATCGAGCTGTATTCATCTGTGAGAGAGAGAGAGAGGCTAAGATTGTATGTTCTAGTGCATCTTTGGAATGAGATTAAGGAGCAAAAGGCTAGGAACGAGAAGAAGCCCTTGGATCCAGTGTTCTTTTAGTGCTAGCTGGTATTTGGAGGTAAAAAGCTATCACCTTGGTCATTGTTTGGTTATATATCTTCACTAGGGAGTTTATGACTGTTTTCATCTTTTCTTTGGGTCCTTAAGTTGTTTGAGCTTTCCATGGAGTTGAGACTTCAGATCTGGATAATATGAGGTCCCTTGAGCCTAAAGATTCAAGCTTTATCAAGCTATTGGCCAGCTTTCATGCATTAAACCCTCTATAGAGCTTGTTTTGGAATTCTGAGCCCTAGATGCCATGCATGGACGTAAAGCTTGCAGCTTTACATGATACTTCAACCTTAGAAGGCAAGATCTAGAGTATGGGGCCTTAGTTCTGCTTAAAAACGTCTGAATGAGAGAATGGACTAAAGGGACTCGATAATTTGATGAGCCAACTTGACGAGTTGGTTAGGGTTTTTCCCCGATAGTCTGGACGCGTTACAACTCGGCGAGTTAATGAGACAACTCGACAAGTTGAGTCGAGTTTTTCGTTTTTGGATTCAGAGTGAACTCGACGAGTTGGTGGGACAACTCGACGAGTGGTTAGGGTTTTCCCCGATCTTCTGGACTCTGTATGGACTCGATGAGTTGGTTAGCAACTCGGCGAGTTGACTCGGGTTTTCATGATTTACTGAGCACTAAGGAACTCGACGAGTTCATGAGTAGCACTCAACGACTAGGTTCCGCTTTGACTATTGACTTCCGTTGACTTTAGGGTTTTGGTCAAGCTGTGGATTTTGGAGGCTATGGAGGGGCGGAGTCTAGACCAGCAGTTCGAGTGTGGGATATATTGCTTTACTGGGCGAGGTGAGTCTTCTCAATATACTTACATGAGTGGTAATACCGTGTGACCAGAGGGTCTTATGTGCTTATACTGAGTTATGTGATATTATGCATTTGTCTTTGTGATTTATGCTATATACTATTCCGTGCCTTACTGAGTTAGGACCGGAGGGTCCAAACCGAGTTGTGAGACCGCAGGGTCTTCACTGAGTCGTATGACCGAAGAGTCCATACTAAGCCGTGAGACCGGAGGGTCCTCATCGAGACACATGGGCAGAGGGTCCATGCCAAGCTATAGCCATGAGAGGCTTATTATTTATGTATGTGGTATTTTAGGAAACTCACTAAGCTTTGTGCTTACAGCGTTTGTGTAAAATGTGTTTCAGGTACATCTCAGGATCACGGGAAGGCACCGACATTGTACACATCAGCTAAAGATTATGTTTTTGAGGATTCTGGGATATTATCAAACAGTTTGTTGTTTGAACAACTTATACATTTGGGTTTTGAGAAATGTGAGATTGTGTTTTATGTGGTTTTAAAAATGAAAATTTTGTTTGAAAATTTAGAGTGTTACAAGTTGGTATCAGAGCCTTGGTTTGAGGGATTCGGATGTACTCTAGGGTATGTCTGGACTCAAACTGGGGATTTGAAAATTTTTTCTAAAAAGAAATGGTTTTCTAAAACGAGTAAGAGCTTTTAAGAGAAAACGAGATGGAGCAGTGTGTACAATCAGCTAGAGCCCGAACGGTGATTTCCCAAAATACCATTGCTTGTTTACATTATGAGATAATTATGAGATATTAGAGCTGCATGCTAGAGGATAGGCTAGGTATTTCAGGAATTTAGAGCTAGAGTTGCCTGATTCATGATGCCTTAGCCTAGGGGATGCTATTGATTGATATTATCTGCTATTTGCTCTACGTATGTGCTGAGTAAGAGTACCTAGCAGGAATCTTTTAGAGAGATATCTGAGTAGAGGAGTAATCTAGTAGAGATACCTAGATGTGAATTTGAGGAACATACTGAGAGAGTAGTTAGATACCCACGAGAGGTGGGATTGCCTGAGTTCGATGATGCTTATTGAGTTGAGGATAGAGCAAGTGGAGTTGTATGCTAGAGTGGTTTTATGTGCTGGTGGAGGTTATTCGATGCCCGAATGCTTCTTGCTTTGTGTTTTGTGGAACTCTTGAATGATGGGAGTCAGCTACTAAGTGAATATGACGATATTCAAGAGGTAGATGGCTGGCATCATGAGGAGTTCTTCAGCAGCTGATGGCAGAGAAGTGTGAGAACCTAGGAGAGCCTAGGGAGTAATTTTAGCCCGATGAGTGCGATGTTTAGAGGTGAGCATTCGTTGGGGAGCGAACATGTGTAATGGGATTGGTTGATTGAGAAGTTTGAGCAGCTACTTAGGAGATCTGGGACGATTCGTGTGGAAAGTATGGGTAGATGTGGAAGGTAGTATGGGCTCGTACTACTGAAAGCAGAGGACCCATACTCGAAACAGGGAGAATTCTAGAGGTTCTAAGTAGCCGATTAAGGGGGAGATAACATGGTTCGGGTACCATGATTCATAGCAGAGAGTGCTTTCGTCTTTACCAGTTATCCCGCTGTGGTTGTTCAGACTGAGAGTGGATACGGTAGTTTGTGGGGCCAGAGGGCCATGTCGGTCAAGCTTCAACAGAGTGTACCTTGCGAGGAAAATTGAGTTTAGATCCCGAGGGGTCTGACTGGCGAGCGGCCAATTGGAGTCGCAGGACTCAAGGAGAAGTGGAGATAATGCCTTGTGGAGGATTGCGGTATGGGTTGAGTGATCGGCCAATGGTTGAGATGTGACTTTCTGTGACGAGAATTACACTATTCCTGCTTCCCGTGTGGAGCGAACGAGATAACGAGTTTTCGGTTTCAGAGTTGGAGGTAAATCTCGTGGGGTAGCATATAGTTGCGATATTTTTACCAGAGTATTTTTTAGCACGTCTGCTGCAAGGTATTTCTTATACCGTGAGAGAGTCATCAGTGGGGACTGAGATCGATGAGGACAAGGATATGCCTTAGTTGAGTATAGTAAGGCATATTTTAGCAGCAGTTCCAGGTGATCAAGAGGAGTATACTAGGGCGGCGACCCTCATTGCCTACGTTGTGTATCGACTGTGAGAGTGAGGTCTCTTGCTTCTATGATAATTCCCGCGATGGAATGTTGGTTGAGAAATCGGAGACGAGGTGTATGATAGTTCATTATTTCCAAATTGAGAGTCGTAACTAATTCGAGAAAGTCGAGATGTCCGGTGGTGTGTCGGTATGAGATTTTGGGTGAGTTAGAGGCAGTCACATCGGGAAGATTCCGAGGTTTTCATCTGAGATACGGGATACTTGGAGTTATTTGGTTATTATCTGGAAGGACATCGAGTGCTGCGTGTACATACCACAAGTCGGGAATGGTACATCTGGTGAGCCAGTCTGAAGTGTGGTATGTTGGTATGACAATGGACGATGGTTCGAACCCTAAGTGGGGGAGAACTGGGTATTATGTGGGGAGGATCCTCAATCTGACGTGGTACAGAAGTTTAGGTTATGGGGATCTACGGTCCAATTATATGAGGTTGGGGTCATGTGGTAGTCAAGGCAACGTATAGAGTGAGATGATGCATGTTACATATGCTCAGGAGAGAATGAGTGTCTTCACGGTAGGTGGCCGTTGGACAAGAATCTGATTATGGTCCGTGTTTCTTCGAGTGTTCCAATGTTTGAGTTTCGAGACGGTTGGGTCGCTGAGGTCAAGATTCGATTGCTGAGAGATTGATAGTTCGGCGTATAGATTGTTATATGTACTCCGGGAAGGGCAGTAGTTGATTTGTCAATCAACTTCAGAGTCGGTATGAGTAGTTCCGCATGGGCTTGATCAGTAGAGGATGGGGCTTTGGATTTTCGTCAACGTGTTCTCAGTCATTGACAATTCCTTCGTGCTTCAAATTGTGAGTTGGAATACTTCAAAGTTTCGAGTTGTGTGAATGGAAGATCAGTGGTCGTGGCAAGACATTGTGAGATTATGTGATGGTGTATCGAGGTTTCCGAGTATGATGTCCTAAATTGTTGGATTACTACGAGACTCAGGTTGTCAGATGACAAGTGGAACATCAAGCGACTATATTTCCAGATGTGAGATCATCAGTTAATTGTCGCCAGACAGGGATTGTCCAAGGGTGTAAACTATACTGAGGGAAAGTGCCTAGTCTATGAGAATTTTCGTCAAGAGTAGTGGTGCATAAATTAGGTAGGTGTGTGCACCTATCTATGTTGGACCGTTGAGCATGAGCTAGTGAACTCAGTATGTTAATGACTTGATGAGGAGATTGTGGGGTGATAAGAGAGTGAGTGGATCCGGGTGGGAGTAATCACTTAGGACAGTCAGGGAAAAACCGAGGGATGAGCCCATGGCGAGTGAGAGAGTGTTGTAAGACTTTGGGGAGCCGTAGCATACACAAGATAGTAAGATAGAGTATCATA